CCTAGCTCATGTATCTTGTTGTATTTTATACTTGCTAGGATAACTTGTTAATTAGTTTTAATTGACATAAAATCGGATTAGATTAGCATAAGACCCTAATCAACCCCCCTCTAGGGTCTAACACCATATACCTGTAAAATAGTTTTTGTAACAAAAATTTTCAATAATATCTTTGTGATATGAACAGAGTTTTTAGTATATTATATAAACAGTTTATATAACAATATGTAATACAAGATGTTTTAACAACTTTAATTATTTCAATTATCTAACAAGTAAATGCTTTTATATAAAAACCTACCTTACACTAGTCTGAGGTAGATATTTAACTATTTTGTTTTTAGTTAGTCCATAAAATTTTTTTTAGCATCGAAATAATTATCTATGATAATTTCCTCTATGTTTAGTTGTTTTAGATTTCATTCTTTCTTTATACCATACCATGTTTGACATGCCTGACTTTATGAAAAAAAATTATTGCTTGATCACCTAGTTGTCTTCAATAGGAGAGACTATGCATGAAGACGACTTCCGTCAAAAATATGATTTATAAGCGTGTTTTCATAGCATGACTATGCGCTCGATATCGATATCCTGATAAGGACCCATCCTGACTTAAAGCCGTGTTTCTGGGACGGTTTATGGGAAACCGATTTATATACATGAAAATATTCTTCTCTAATTCAAATAACGTTTAAAACAATAATAATGTGCTTGTGTGTTTTATGATTTGACCTTATTTGATATTCTAATTCAAATAACGTTTAAAACAATAATAATGTGCTTGTGTGTTTTATGATTTGACCTTATTTGATATCTATTATTAACATTTTTTATCATCTTTAATTGAGTTCTTATTTTTTTTCTTTATCCATGCCACATTACACTTACACACGCACATTTCCTTCATTTTATATGCTTGTTGGGAGTTTTCTGACTCCCATGGGGTTTGTATTCCCCAGACTCGGGGACTGTTCTTTCTTCGCAGGATCAAGAATATTTCGAGGGGCAGGCTCATCGGCAATGATCGCCGTTTAGTCCTTTCAGTTCTCCATTTCACTTGTTTTAGGTAGTTTTTTGATTGAGACTTTCCTGAAATCTCGTGTGGATCTTCAGACTATGAATGTTTTCTTTTCTTCCGTTTTGGATAGTTGTGGACTTTTCATAGACCTCTGAAATTTTAAACTATGAATGTTTTCTTTTCTTCCGTTTTGGATAGTTGTGGACTTTTCATAGACCTCTGAAATTTTAGATATTTCTTTATCTATCCGTTTTCTTTTATTATCTTGGGTACATGCTCTTTGGTATAGTTTTGGCTTTATATCTGTATACATGATGATCTAGAGGTGTGAATGCGACCGTATGGTTGCATTGCCGGCCGAGTCACGTTCCAAACTATTACATTTTGGAATTAGGACGTGACAAACACTTTGGAGGGGATATTTGTAGGAGTCTAAAATTGCCTATGAGGTCTCACACGCAGCTCGAAATAATGAGTGGACGCGTCAAGAAGGATTATCCAATTGGCCGCTGTGCGCATTAGTCAACGCATACGTTGGTCAGTCCGCGCGCGTCAGTCAGCCCGCGCACGTCAATCAGTTTGTGCACGTCGGTCAGCCCGCGCGTCGGTCAGCCCGCGCACGTCGGTCAGCCGCGCACGTCGTCAGGCCCGCGCGCGTACGGCAACCTGCTACGTCAGATCACCGCGCACGTCAACTCAGCCGGCCCGTCAGCCAATGCGCGTACGTTAATCAGCTCGCGCCTGAGTCGTCAGCCGCGTACGTCAATCAGCCCGCTGCGCGTCAGTCAACGCACGACGTCATATCGGCTCACGCGCGTCGGGGTCAGCCTCGTGCACGTCCAATCAGCTCAGTGGCGCCGTCAGTCAACCGCGCACAGTAAATCGCTTGCGCGCGTTGGTCAGCCCGCATACGTTATTCTGCCTCGCGCGCGTTCAGCTAAACCTGCGCACGTCACATCAGCTCTGCCGCGCGTCAGTCAGCCCGCCCGTACGTTTAATCAGCTCACACGCGTGTCAGTCAACTGTGCCCACGTCAATCGGCTCGCCGCGGGCTCGGTCAGCCCAGCACGTCAAATCACTCGCGCGGTCGGCACAGCCCGCCGCACGTCAATCAGCTCAGCGCACCGGGTCAGTCAACCGCCGCACGTCAATCAGCTGCGGTGTGGGTAGCCGCGCACGTTAATCAGCTCACGGTGTCAGTCACCGATGCGCCACGTCATCAGCTCGCGCGTTAGTCAACACGCGCCCCCACATCAGTTAGCGGCCTGCAGTCAACGCCTGCCCACGTCATGTCAACGCGCGCACGTATTCAAGCTCCGCGCGTCAGTCAACACGCGCACGTCAGTTAGCGTGCGCACGTCAGTCAACGTGCTTGTCAGGCAGTCCCAAGTGACTGACGCGTTCGTCAGTCAGCCCCTCAGCGAAGCGTACAAGCCAACCAGTCGACCAAATACGCAAAACGATGGAGAATACAGGACCGGGAAAGTCGGGAAACACCAAAAAGCGAGAAGAGAGAGCGAAAAAGCCTCGGAACCCGCGCTCTCGCTGGTCCCCCACAAGTGACCCGTGCTCGCGCGGGTCACCCGTGGGTGACTTGCGCCCACACAAGTCACCAGTACCCGACGCGCAGATTTGACCCCTAGATGCGTTTTTGACGTTTTTTAAACGGTTTTTGCAGGATTTATCTTTTCCATGGGTTCCCAACTGACTTGATATCAGCTACAAACGTGGTTAGGCTGTTATTGACTGAAGATAAGGCCAAATTGATCATTCTCATCCAAATACCTGCATCCGAGGCCTATAAATATAAGCCTAAGGCCTCCATTCTACAGATCTGGAAATCAAGAGGGCGAAGTGCTGTCAAATTGGAGAGTGGAGCACGGATTTCAGAAGAGTTAGTAGATCTTAGCGGTGTTCCTCAACAAAAAGAGAGTTCGAAAGATCTGAGACTTGTTTTCCCCATATTCCTTCGGATTTAAGCTTAGTCTTAATCTCGAGAAGAGCCGTAATCTCGCTTGGTCTAGATTATCGATGCTGTGATTATTTCCTTCGTGAAGTAAGAGCATTGATTATCAATCTTCTGCTAACCAGATCTGATCCGTAGGTAGTCCACGGATAAACCCCGGCACCGACAACGATCCCGCACAAGCAATAGGAGTTAGAACTACTATTACGTGTAATTTGAAAGAAAGTTGTAAATTTTTTTAATTTAAAGTCTTATAAAAAAGCTATTTGTTTGAGTTTATTGTAAACGTTTGAAGTTGTAATGGACTCATCAATGAAATCAACTTTCAACCCAAACAATACAGTTTAACACCCCTAGATGTAACCGCACTTCTCCACAACGGATGAATGATTATTTCCACGCTGTTAACCCAACTCCTCATCTCTCAAGCAATCTTCTCTTTTCGAAATTCCCCCAAACTTACGACAACAACAACAGAATAATTTTAAAAAAAAACACAGAACGAACTTCTTTTTCTAAAATTGGCCTGAGCCGTACGTCTTTCCACGTCATTTCTCTTTATTAAAAGCCTACAGCTTCGGTGCTCCATGAAGATTTGTTGGAGCACCCGATGGCATATCTGTAAATAAATTCCTTAAAAATAGCTCTCACATCTTTAGATAGATAGATTTGGTGGTTAGAATGTGTTCCACACCCAAAATTGTAATTAACTATAATTTTAAAGGTTATTTTAGGAAATACAATTGCCAACCGCTTTGTTGCTCCAAAAAATAATATTTATTTTTCCAATACGGCTGACAGAAGTTGTAATTAAGATCTTTTAATTCCCTTCTCTTACTCACGAAAAAATAGTTGCCACCGAAAAATTGAGTTCCACATTGCTTTTCTAATTATTTCCTTCTTCAAGGGCAATTGTTATTTCGGTTTTACTTGTCTCTTCGTCCGCCCTGAATCAATCTTTGAGCAACACGTTATTCACGAGCTGTCACCAATTTCATTGTTACTTTTGGGCAAAATCATTGCTAAAGCCATCATCAAATTCTCTTCTTCCTTTATGTTGCTAAAACCATGTCATTTCTCTGTTTCTTTTCTAATGAATATTTTCAATTTTACTTCTTGGCCCAATAATGATAGGACATGATTTCAATGGACTCGATGAATTTGGAGATGGAGGAAATGGATTCTGATTCAAAATTTCCTCGTAAGAGGTCGCCTTAACTCAAGATCGATGTCCTTCTCGTTGGCCATTACTTAAATTTTTTATTTTAATTTTTCCTTAGACCCCTAAATTACTTCAAACTACCCATTAATTTGGTAATCAGAACATTACCTACAATTGATGATCAACAAGTGTTTATGGATTTGTATGACATGTAGAAAGTTTTGCAGACAAACACGGTGAGGTTAGCTGCGGATATAACAAGGATTGGGTTAAAGTGACGGACAAGAAGATATGAGACACAATGACAATATTACCCTTTAAAATAAAATTAAATAAAAACCTATTTATCGGAGCATTGAAGCAAAGCTCTTATTAAAAAGCAGTTTTCAAAATTCAAACAAAACTGCAAACCAACATCAATTCATCACCCGCTCTCTTACCTTTTATTCCACTTCTCCCGCCTCTCTCTCTGGTTGCTAATCCATTCCAACCTTTGTTTCAACAATTTTACTTTTACCGTCGCAGACAAAGGACAGAGAGAGAGGGCAGCTAGTTAGTGCAGCTAGGTTAAACCCAATCCTAATAATTGTTAAATAAATAAATAAATAAATAAATAAATAAATAATCCAAAGTCCACTGCTGTCTTTGTTCTCCTCGCAAGTTTAGCCACTCTCAGTCAAATATCGCCTCGAAGGTGAAGCTCTCCCCCTCTGCCGGCGACTTTTGCAAGCAAGCTCATAAACACAACTTCACATGGTGAGTTTATATAAAAATAAATAAATAAATCAATTAAAATATATTTATCTCTTTCTCCTTATCCCCATAGTTTGATTAACTCTTCAGTCCCTGATGTTGAGATCTCTAACAAATGAATGGTTGCATTCAATGCTCTTCTCTCTCTACAACTGTAGAGGATGCGTCTTCGCAACTCAATGTCTCCTCTCTCTCTCTCTCTCTCTCTCTCTCTCTCCCCACCCATCTCAGGACCTGCTGAAAGATAAAACCATTACCCTTCTTTCTCAAGTTTGAACTTGGCTCTTTTTGCTTTTACTGCTGACATCCCTCCTCGCTCTATCCCAAATGATTTTAATTTTTTTGTTTTTAAAATTAATGCTCCTTTTCTTCTTCTTTTTGACTTTTCAGTTATATTAGAATTTGAAAACTAAACCCTTTCCACTTCCGTGCTCGGATCTGCAAGCAGGTATCCCGATAGTTTCAGCTTCAAAAATGCATTCAAATCTCGAATCTTTAGCACCTGAACACTCTTTTCACTAAGCAGGGGGAAAGAGAGAAAACATTGAAATCATCTGAGAGAGCTCTTGTAGTGCTCTGAAGATGAAACCGAAACTCATTTTCTTGCTATTTTCCGCGATTTTTCTGCTCGCAAACGCCGACCTAGCGGAGGACAAGCGAGCTCTGCTCGATTTCCTCAGCAGAATCCACAAAAGCCGCGACCTCAACTGGAGGAACGACACTTCAGTTTGTTCTAACTGGACGGGAATTACTTGCAATCAGGAAAACTCTCGAGTCATCGCTCTTCGTCTTCCCGCTATCGGAATCAACGGTCAGATCCCCTTTAACACTCTCAGTCGCCTCTCTGCTCTCCAGATCTTGAGCCTCAGATCCAATGGTTTCACTGGCCCTTTCCCCTCTGATCTCTTCAACATCACAACCCTAACTGGCCTTCACTTGCAATTCAATACCTTTTCTGGGGATTTACCCTCCCATTTCTCAACATGGAAGAATCTCACTATTTTGGATCTTTCCTACAATGAGTTTAATGGTGAAGTTCCCACTTCGATTTCTAACTTAACTCACCTAGCTGCTTTGAATTTGTCCAACAATTCGCTTACCGGTGAAATCCCAGACCTTGCGCTGCCTAGCCTCCAGTTTCTAAATCTCTCCAACAATCATCTCAACGGAACCATTCCGACTTCTCTTCTGAAGTTCCCCAATTCCTCGTTTTCTGGCAATGATTTCATGCCGATTCTTCCTGTAATGCCCCCTCCGCTGCCCCCCAACATTCCGTCTTCCCCTTCTGCTTCCCCTTTCCTGGCAACAAAAAGTGGTAGAAAGCTAACGGAATCAGAGATTCTGGGCATTGCTGTAGGAGGATTTGCTATAATTTTCCTGGCATTGGCTATCCTGATGGTAATGCTTTGGTCGGGAAAGAGAAGGGGAGGAGCTGTATCTGGAAAGCTTTCGAAAGGGGATAGGTCGCCGGAGAAGGCTGTGAGTGGGAATCAGGACGAGAACAACAGGCTGGTGTTCTTCGAAGGGTGTAATTTTGCGTTTGACTTAGAGGACCTGTTGAGGGCCTCGGCTGAGGTATTGGGAAAGGGTACGTTTGGGACAGCTTATAAGGCAGTGCTTGAGGACGCGGCGATGGTGGTTGTGAAGAGGTTGAAGGAGGTTGGGGTTGGGAAGAAGGAGTTTGAGCAGCAGATGGAGGTGGTTGGGAGAATAAAGCATGAGAACGTGTTGGAATTGAGGGCTTATTACTATTCCAAAGACGAGAAGCTCATGGTCTATGATTACTACAGCCAGGGGAGTGTTTCTTCCTTGCTTCACGGTATGATTCCCTTTTCCCTTTATTTTACTTGTTCCACTGACTGCCGTTGGTCTTCTTCATAATTATGACCTGATGGTTTTGTTGCCGTGTTGACAAAAGTTAAATGTTAGTTATAATCTCTGGAGTAAAGGCGATTGTGTTAGCTTCCTTGTTTGACTAAAGCTTGTGCATGTTATTATGTTCTGATGCTAACTAGTTCAAATTTCAATCTTATGTTGGACTAATTTCAATCGGAAATCTGAGTCAGGTTGTTCTCTTTCTTGTTTAAGTGATTGGGCATTGATGAAGCAGAGAACTCTCTGCGGGTGCTTCTTATCGCTTATGTTTGTATCTTGACCAAATTCAATTTGTGTGAAGAGACTAGTTTAGTAAACAACACTTGTATTCCTCTCTTATGTCGAAATATCAACCTCTAAGGCATAGGGAAGGCCACTTGACTTCAGATTAGTTTGTGTCCAAACTCAGGCCCCAGAAAAGTGTTTCCGAGAACTTCAGCAACTGATCATAGTGTCAATGATAAGTGTTTAACATACAAAATTATGACGCTTATTTGATGGCTGGATACGTTCCTAGGGAACAACATGGAATATCTTTGGGGAGAATGCTTGGCAATTGATGACAAGAACATAAACTCAAAGTATTTAACTGACAAAAAGTAAATGAAGGGGGTGTCTGTTTGGTGACTGCATTGGTACATCATCCTGTTGTGCGCGGCGGAAGCTTCTTGTGCAACACGAACAATAACTCGAGATAAATCACAACCAATAAGCAAAACACAACCACAGAAAGAACAAACGATTTACGTGGTTCGGCAAGTTGCCTACGTCCACGGGGCAAGGAGGGAGGGGAGTTCTTACTATTAGAAATCAAAGAATACAAGTAGAGTTTCAAATCTCATCGATCAAACCCTAAAACAAAGCTCTAGATCTCTCACAACTCTCCCACAATTGGATGCAACAATCATCTTTCAAAGACTGCCCAAAATCGTCCTTGCTTAACCCTAATTAATTAGGTTTAGGGTTATATATCAACTCAGAAACGAATCGGGTCAAAAACCAAAAACCCAGCCCAATACAGATTGCGGTCGACCGCGCAGGTTTCACGATCGATCGCGGTGGTCGACCGAACCATAAATCCGAGACTTAAATCGATTACAGTCATCCGCGGTCGACCGTGGCGGTCGACTGCCATCAGCTCCGAATCCCACTGGCCTTCGTGCATGTTCGCGGTCGACCGCCAGTCTGCGTGGCTGATTCTTCTGTTGTTTCCTGCATTTTTTCAATTCTCCACCTCGGCGAATGTTTCCACCAAAACTAAGCCGACACCAAATCATCCAATAGACCCTTAACAAGTCAGGGAATCAAACTAGAGCTGAAACGCGATCTCCCCCCATCTGAATCAAAAGATCAAACCGGTTGCATCTGAAAGATTGCTTACGTATCCTCTTGCCCAAGGAATCAAGCCGAACGTAGTTTACCAAAATGGCCTCCAAAGACCTCAGCACTGAAGGATGTTCAAAAGCTTCAAACAATGATCAAAATTCACTCCTGAAACAACTTTAGTCAACATATCTGTAGGGTTGTCATTCGTGTGGACCTTCTCCAATATGACGTCTCCATCATCCAAAACGTCACGTACAAAGTGGAATCTGACGTCGTTGTGCTTCGTGCGCGCATGATAAACCTGGTTCTTCGCTAAATAGATAGCCGACATGCTATCACAATATAGCCGAATGGTCTCCTGAGCGATCCCCAAGTCCTACAATAAACCACGCAACCATAAAGCCTTCTTAATAGCTTCAGTTACTGTCATATACTCTGCCTCCGTAGTAGAGAGAGCCACTGTGGACTGCAGCGTGCATCGCCAACATACAGGTGCACCTGCCAATGTAAAAGCATAACCTGAATTAGACCGACGTTTGTCAAGATCTCTAGCATAATTTGAATCCACATATCCAATACAATCCTGCTTATTCTTCTCATCCTTTTGGAATACTAAACTAACATCCACGGTGCCTCGAACATACCGTAGAATCCACTTCACAGCCTTCCAATGACCCTTCCGGAGTCGTGCATGTATCTCGATACCATGTTCACGGTCTGTGACAAATCTGGCCTCGTACACACCATCACATACATCAAGCTACCTACTGTACTGACATATGAGACATTCGACATATAATCTCCGTCCTCAACTGAAACATGTGACATCAACGCTGAAAGCTTGAAGTGGGGAGCCAATGGTGTGCTAACTACTTTTGCATTACCGTCAAAACTGAATTTCTTTAACATCTTCTGCAAGTAGCTCTTCTGTGTAAGTTTCAAACTCCCTTTCACCCTGTCTCTCTTGATCTCCATACCCAATATTTTTTTTGCTTCTCCAAGATCCTTCATCTCAAACTCGGATGAAAGCTCATTTTTTAACTTTCGAATAGCCGAAGAATTCATGGAAGCAATAAGCATATCGTCAATATATAAAAGCAAATATATGTGCTCACCATCATGTAGCTTGTGCAATGGAAGCAATAAGCATATCGTCAATATATAAAAGCAAATATATGTGCTCACCATCATGTAGCTTGTGCATATAAACACATGGGTCATATGGATATATGTGCTCACCATCATGTAGCTTGTGCATATAAACACATGGGTCATATGGGCTCCTTGTGTACCCTTAGCCAATCATAAAACCGTCGAATCTCTCATACCACTGTCTTGGTGACTGCTTCAAACCATAAAGAGATTTCTTCATCTTACAAACTAAATCTTCCTTTCCTACAGCTTTGAATCCTAGGGGTTATGTCATGTAGATCTCCTCATCTAAATCACCGTATAGAAAGGCTGTCTTCACATCCATCTGGACCAAATCCAAATCCAACTGTGCCATCAACGCCAATAAAATCCGTATCGATGAATGTTTCACAACGGGTGAAAATACCTCGTTGTAATCAATGCCCTCAACCTGTGCATATCCCTTGGCAACCAATCTGGCTTTGAACCGAATGTTCCCAATAGAAGATCCCTCCTTCGTATATACCCACTTGCAACCAATAGCTTTCTTACCCTTAAGTAGATGTGTAAGTATCCAAGTGTCGTTCTTTTGAAGAGACCGCATCTCCTCCTCCATAGCTTCCCTCCACCTGATCGAATCGGGGCTAGACTCTGCCTTCCTGAATGTGGCTGGAATCATATCATCAACGACCTTCACTGATAATGCATATGTGACTATGACATCATTATACCTAGCTGGCCGACGAATCTCTCTCCTCGGTCTATCTGCTGTAATGGATCCCTGAACATGACCTTGTTCCTGAGTCTTATAATCCACTGTATCCTCTATCTGCCCGGCTGTCATCTCATATCCTCTCAGTGTCACCTCTGTAGGAGCCTCAATGGATACAGTGTTCTCTGGAGTGAGTGGAGTCACATCATCCTCTACCTGCTACGATATATCTCCTGTCTGGTCTCCCTCCACTTGCTGAGGGGCTCGAGGCCTCATCATGTACGCCTCGTCAAATATGACATCTCTGCTAATAACTATCTTCTTGTCTTGTAGATCCCATAACTTGAAGCCTTTGATTCCATCTCTAAATCCCACAAAAACTATTTTCCTCGCTCTCGGATTTAATTTATCATCACTGACATGATAATAAGCTGGACACCTGAATATCTGAAGCGACTCTTAGTTACTAGTCACCGAACCAAACAACGTTCCAAAGGAGTCTTCTCGTCTATCGTAGTGAACGACAACCTGTTCACAAGATGACTCGCATAAACTAATGCTTCGGCCCAAAAGGATCTAGGCAATCCACTCTGTGTCATCATACACTGCACCTTCTCCAGCAAGGTACGGTTCAATCTCTCAGCCATCCCGTTCTGTTGCCGTGTCTCTCGAACTGTGAAGTATCTTCTAATGCCGTGATCCCGCCTTAATTTATCATCACTGACATGATAATAAGCTGGACACCTGAATATCTGAAGCGACTCTTAGTTACTAGTCACCGAACCAAACAACGTTCCAAAGGAGTCTTCTCGTCTATCGTAGTGAACGACAACCTGTTCACAAGATGACTCGCATAAACTAATGCTTCGGCCCAAAAGGATCTAGGCAATCCACTCTGTGTCATCATACACTGCACCTTCTCCAGCAAGGTACGGTTCAATCTCTCAGCCATCCCGTTCTGTTGCCGTGTCTCTCGAACTGTGAAGTATCTTCTAATGCCGTGATCCCGGCAAAACTGCAGAAACGGATTACTCTATTCTTCACCGTTATCTGAACGTAGTGTCTTTATCTTTCTACCTGTCTGCAGCTCCATTTTCTTCTTCCATTCCATAAAAATATCCAGGACCTGATGTTTATGCTTCATAGGGTATATACCCAATTCATTCTGGAATAGTCATCAATGAAAGTGACAAACTAGTTGGCCCCACCAAGAGATGTGTTCTTGGAAGGACCCTAAATGTCTGTGTGAATGTAATCCAATGTACCTCGGGTGTTGTGAACAGCGGTGTCAAACTTCACTCTAGTCTTCTTCCCGAGTACACAGTGCTCACACAGCTCCATCTTGCAGGTCTTAGTACCTTTCAATAGCTCTTGTTTTGCCAATGACTGTAGGGACTTATCACCTGTGTGTCCAAGTCTCATGTGTCATAAGGTGGTAGTGTCCTCCTTTGTAGTAATAGAAGCTGTCAGACCCCCTGTAACTGTCTTGCCCTTCAAGTAGTATAGGTTGTTTTCCCTGACACCTCGCATCACCACCATAGAACCCTTTGTGACCTTCACTGTAGCATCCTCTAAGATCACTCGATATCCAGCTGCCTCCAAAATCCCAAGAGAAATGATGTTCTTCGTCAACTGCGGTACGAACCTCACTTTCTTCAACTCCCTCACTACACCATCATGCATCCTAATCCGGACTGAACCAATACCACCAATAGGATATACGTGATCATTACCCATAAGTACGACATCCCCTATTTCCAGCAACTCAAAGCTAGAGAACCACTCCCTCTTAGGACAGATGTGATATGTAGCTCCCGAATCCATCATCCACTCCGTGGAATCCGTATAGCAAACCGACGGTAATGCAGTGCATGAATAGCCTGAAGAATCTGAATCTGAATGCTCACCAATAGCTTTTGTAACATTCACTTCTGAAGCTTGTCCAGCTTTTCTCTTATTCTTCCCGGCTTTTTCTTTTCACTTTGGTCAGTCAATCTTCCAATGTCCTTCTTTACAATACCGACATTGATTTCTACCAACACTCTTATAGGCACTCCTATTCTTTGGCTTTGAGCGGTTGAACTGGCGACGGTTTGGATCTCGGCCTCGAACTGCTAATACATCTCCCGATGCCTTCTCGGAAGTTTCATCATCACTCTTCCTTAATTCATAGTTCACCAAAGCTGATGTCACCTTCTTGTAGCTGACTGTAGTTCTTCCATTGATCATAGTGAGAATGAACGTACCATAATCATCTTCGGGCAACGAGCACAGAAGTAGTATCGACTTGTCTTCATCCTCAACTATAACGTTCATATTGGCCATATCTGAAAGTAGCTTAGTGAAGTTGTTGACATGCTCCCTGATGGAAACTTCCCTCTTCATCTTGAACTGGTAAAATCTCTTCTTTAAGTGAAGCCGATTCTCAATGTTCTTCGAAAGATATTTCTCATTGAGTGTTTCCCACATCTTCTTCGCCAACGTCTCGTTCATAACATCATAAATAAGATCCGGCGTCAAGCATGACCTAATAACACCACAAGCTCTACTGTTCATCTTCCTCCAAACCTTATTCTTCATATCTGCGGGTTTCTCTTTTAACTCAAGAGTCTCCTCCATATTCTGTGCATCCAAGGCATCCATCACCTGACACCTCCATAATCCGAAATTGATCTTGTTGAACTTCGGAACATCAATCTTCGTGTTATTGATGCTCAGACTCTGTATCGCCTTTGTAAGAGACGAACCTGATGTGTTTGCTTTCCCATGTTGTCAATCTAGCTCTGATACCAATTGTTGTGCGCGGCGGAAGCTTCTTATGCAACACGAACAATAACTCGAGATAAACCACAACCAATAAGCAAAACACAACCACAGCAAGAACAAACGATTTACGTGGTTCGGCAAGTTGCCTACGTCCACGGGGTAAGGAGGGAGGGGAGTTCTTACTATTAGAAATCAGAGAATACAAGTAGAGTTTCAAATCTCACCGATCAAACCCTAAAACAAAGCTCTAGATCTCTCACAACTCTCCCACAATTGGATGCAACAATCCTCTCTTAAAGACTGCTCAAAATCGTCCTTGCTTAACCCTAATTAATCAGGTTTAGGGTTATATATCAACTCAGAAACAAACCGGGTCAAAAACCAAAAGCCCAGCCCAATACAGATTGCGGTCGACCGTGCAGATTTCGCGGTCGACCGCGGCGGGCGACCGAACCAGTCATCCACCTCGACCGCGGCGGTCGACCGCCATCAGCTCCGAATCCCACTGGCCTTCGTGCACGTTCGCGGTCGACCGCGGCGATCGACCACCAGTCTGCCTGGCTGATTCTTCTGCTGTTTCCTGCATTTCTTCACATCCATTATTCATTAAGTTTGTTTTCTACTAGCAAACATGATTTAATACGTCAGTCATTTGAAACCGATTTCGAGAAGTAAATATTGATGAAAAGAACATGTGTATTAGTATTGGGACTATTTACTAAGTTACTAACCAACATGATTTCAAGCTTTGTAACTGGATCCTAACAACTTCAGGGTTTCGTATTTTGGTTCAACCTACAAAACTACAGTACAGATTTCAGCTAGATTACAATCAATAGTTCATTCAGGATTTGTATACTTTTTAAACACCTTGTGCAAAATTATGGACATAGGGCTGAAATCATGTACTGGACCTATTTAAGCATGGGTAGCTTCTAAAATATTTGTCACTGAATCTAGACTCCGGCATATGGAACAGACCACATCTTGATGTTTAGACTAAACATCATTTGTATTAATATTATCTAGGAAAGCATGGGCACCATGTTGAAACATATACAAAACAGTATTTGGTCTGGATGAATGATGCAGCTATATTTGACATTTCTATTGCACATTCATAGATTATATATACCTCTCTCATCTCATGCCAGCCATATCTGTTTTTGTGTATTCACCATGTCAAATTACACTTCTGCTTTTCACCTCATTCGTTGCTTATTCTCCCTCGTTCTCTTCTTGCAGGACAGAGAGGGGAAGACAGGACTCCCCTAGACTGGGATACCAGACTGAAAATAGCTATTGGCACAGCAAGAGGCATTGCATGCATCCACACTGAGAACAGCGGAAAATTCGTCCATGGCAACATTAAGTCCTCAAACGTCTTCCTCAATCCTCAAAGCTTTGGTTGTGTATCTGACCTTGGCCTCTCATCCCTCTCAACAAATCCCATCATCCCTCGTGTTTCTCGGACTGCTGGATACCGTGCTCCTGAGGTTGTTGATGTGCGTCGTTCAACACAGGCCTCTGATGTCTACAGTTTTGGTGTGCTAGTGCTTGAGCTGCTCACAGGCAAGTCACCCATCCAGATAACTGGCGGTGGGGATGAGGTTGTCCACCTCGTCCGGTGGGTCCAGTCGGTAGTCCGAGAAGAGTGGACAGCTGAGGTGTTTGATGTGGAGCTAATGAGGTATCCAAACATAGAGGAGGAATTGGTTGAGATGCTTCAGATTGGAATGGCCTGTGTAGTGAGAATGCCTGAACAAAGACCAAAGATGGCAGAAGTGGTGAGAATGATTGAAGATGTTAAAAGATTTGATACAGGAAACCGTCCTTCGACAGAGGGCAGGTCACCAGAGTTGAGTGGATTGATGCCGCAACCTGCACAAAGGTCAGCAGGGACTTCTTCTCCAATACAGTGAAGGCTAGGAAAATCGTATAGCTACTTTGGTTATACACCATTCTGTACTATTTAATTTGTACCTTCTACATACATGTTGTGGGATTTGATTTACCTTACGTGGTTCTTCAAATGCTATGTTTGGTGAGCTTTTTGGCCAATGCGTGTTATAGAGTTCAAAGGTCTGAACTGACAAAAACTGCTTGTTTCTCTGCATCTTGATTATTGTAGAATGCAAGTTCTATGGCATCTTTTTTGGTCATTTCATATAGAATTGCAAGTATCTCTGTAGGAAAACGGTGGAACCTCCTTGTAATGTGCAAGCTAGGTTCTTGTCCTGTTTAGAGTACACCATGCTTGGGCTTTACCTTAAAGCCAGCCAGAAATGGAAAGTCTTGGATCATATTTTAAAATCCAGGTATTTTTCTGATTATGATTTTTAGTAAATTGACCATATCAGACAAAAGAGTTTCAGTAAACACAGTTCCTTGGGCACATAAGTAACGGCAAGGCAGACAATATCACTTATTCTTTTATCCTTTCCCGGGGAATTTTAAATACAATTGTTTGACTGAAAACAGCTTCACAGCTCTGGAAATAAAAATAAAAAAAAAATCAAATAATGATGTAAAACTTCACAACTCCAAAAAAAAAAATGATACCATAATGTAAACTTCACAGCTCCTGACCCCAAAATGCGACGGCCAGTCTATTCCCCGACCTAAAAGGAGATTAAAAAAGGTGACAAATTGCACAACAGAGATGTATATGAATCTGTCCTCTATGCACTATTCTCTTATCTTCTACTTCTCCATCAGTGTAACTTAATCCTGCAACATTTTAACTCCACAAATAAACAGAAAGAATGAAGATAAATTGACCAAAGTAGGATACTGACAAAATTAAATAAGTCCTTATATATATGTTAATACAAGGAGAAAATGCTACATCACAGTTAAGTGCATCCATCACCAAAAATGTCATATTTCTTATATTACTCGAAATGTGAGTTCTTTGAAACTGATCCTTCAAATCAATTAAGTTGTTAGTTGATTATTTATCATGTACCTATCTATATCTAAACTGTACTAGCATATTGGCACGTGCAAGTAACAACAAATTTCTATGTGAATAATTCTTAATTAAACGAGGTAATTTTATTATGATCATTTAATGTTTATTTGAAGGATATTCAGATTAAAAAATGAATGTGTACAGAACAATAAAAAAATATGTATATTTTTCATGATTTCCACGTGAAAATAGAAGTAAAATAACATTTGAAAACTGATTTGCCAAACTACTTAGAAAATTGAAGATGTAGAGTTACATATGTTTTTAATCATATTACTTTTAAAAGAGTTATATATGAAATGTTTACATAGNAAAGAGATGATACTCATGGCAATAAATGATGATGTAAATGACCAATTCACCCCTATCTTCACCAAAATGAACCCCTATTTTTTATTAAATTGAAGGCATAATGGCTCATTCCTTCACTTTTGCCTACCCTCACAAAGATTTTTAATAAATGTCTACACACACAATATTAAAAACTTTGTGGAGTTAAATTTTTTTGAAAAAAACACACACACAATATTAAAAACTTTGTGGGGTTAAAAAATTCTGAATGAAAGGAGGAAAGTGTCCTCCATTCGACAAAATATATAGGACAATTTTGTATCTACATGAATATTAAACGCTTCACAATTCCCTATGCACTATTTCTCTTATACACAATTAGTTCAAAACACTTAGCACATTTTCTCCCTAGGAATTTTTTTAAAAAGATCATTTTTTCTAAATAATTAGCAAAACCGACTGTTTTGCTAATTATTTAGCAAAACCGACCTCTTTTTGGCCAACAGGCCAAAAAGAGGTTGGTTTTGAAATGTTGCTGCTTTGAAACATACGGGTTAGTCCCGTATGTTTAGTGGCAGTAATTAGGCGCTAATGCTAAGCCAGAAAACCTACGGGATTACTAGTCCCGTGGGTTTTGATGAGGACTTCACTAAACGTACATGACTAGTAGTCCCGTACGTTAAGGAGAAACTTTATTTCTGGGTGCCTAGCAAATCCACGGGGCTAGTAGTCCCGTGGATTTTTCAGGCTATATAAGGCCCAGTTGTGCCCCAAAAATTAGGGGACAGCAATCTCTCTCGTTCTCTCTTTCTATTTCCCAGCCGAACCCCCCCCCAAAGCCGATCTCTCTCAAACCCAATCTCTCTCCCTCATTCTATTGACTCTCTCCCAACTCACCTATTCCTCCCTCAAATTTCTCTCTCTTATCCTCTCCAAACACATTCTCTCCAAACCCTAATTGAGATCTTCCCCAAAGATCACTCCGGCGTTGTTGAAATCCGACGCTGTTTAGTCTCTCCGACGTGGACGAAATTCGAAACTTCATCAAGGTATAAATTTCTTATTTTTTTCATAATTTTCTCTCTATTATTTAGTTAATATTGTTGTTTGGAAGTAATTGTATATTTAGAATAAATATTTTAATTATGATAATCAATATGAAAAAAATCTAATTTGCATATGATGAATTTTATTCTTCAGTTAAAATGGTGAATGGAATACCGGTTATTTGCTTATTCAATGGAAAACTAAGTGCTGGAATGAATAATATGCCTATATACGAAAGAGGATCTAGAAAAATATTCATGTTATTTAGAAATTACAATTTCGATGGAATGATGGAGCAAATATACAGAGTTACTAGAATTAATTAGGCAGAAAATGACACTAAGGTCTTCTATAATTATCTGATAAATGAAAAAAGAACAATTGTTGTAGAGATCACTAATAATCAAGAATTGAGTGACATGATACAATTTGTGGAAAAGAAAATCTCAATCGAGTTGTTCATTTAAAATATTCTAATATCTGGTGTTGCCGAAGTTTCATATGCTCACGGAGAGTTATCCCGCATGCTTGAAAATCAAATCTCATTCTCTCAAAGTGCTTGCACTTAGAAAATGACTTGGGTGCAATGTCAAGTGACGTGTTTCAAAATGCGTCAGGTTATATTTTAGTTAATTTACCGGTTGGTTCTATTATAGAAGAGGATGAGGATGCAGATGCATATGATGATTATGAAGATGCTGAAGAGGAGGAACGTCTTGATAGTATGCATTGTGCAATTGAAGGAGCCGATGATGACACCTGTTGGATGGATGAATGTTGTGTAAACAACGATTATGTGGAGTCTGAAGAACCGTTGCCAGAAGAGTTTCAAAATAAGGAGTGGATAAATGCCTCACAAGCTGAGTTCGTTGAGCTTGGTTCTAATTTCGATCGACCCAAAGACTTCACTTTTAAAAAAGGAGATCTTTTCGAGAATAAGGAAATCTTTGTTTTCGCTATACGTGAATGGGCAATCAAGAATCGGGTCAAATTCAAGCCGGTGAAAACCAATATAACTAACTACCATGTAAAGTGCTACTTCAACGAGAAAGCTCAAGGAGAGTATACAAGTGCTCAAGACGAGAGAAATTCAAAGTGTTCATGGAATCTTAATGCAGCTGTTAGGAAAAAAAATCTAATAGGCAATTTATGATCTCTAGTTATTGCGGACTTCATACATGTTGCAATCCGACTGTCGATGCCGATCATATGGCAACAACTTCCTCTTATATCGTAAAGGTAATTATGCCTGAAGTTAGGCGATAACTTGATCTTACTCTAAGTCAGATAATTACAAGGGTATATGATATGAGAAAAATAACTATATCCAAGTATAAAGCATATGATGCATGGAGGAAGGCGTTGACTAAAATCTTTGGCGATTGAGAGAAATCTTACAAATTACTTCAGCAATATCTTAAAGCAATTAAGAGGAAAAACCCGAGTACCGAATAAGAAATATTGTCTAAAGTGATCGTGCCAGGAGTGGAGAGGTTCATGCGAGTATTTTGGGCATTTGGACCCGCTATCAAATGGTTCTATTTTTGTCGTCCACTCTTGAGCATCGATGACATACATTTGTATGGTAAATACAAAGAAGTGCTCTTGGTTGTGACCGGTGTATTAGCCTCTTTGTTTTGATGATGTTTAACAAATACTTTACGACTAATGTTGTTTGTCTAGTGTTTGTGGTTTTCTATTTATTATAGACAAACAATATATTGGAGGATGGATGGAATCAAGCTTTCACGATCATATCCAATGGAGGTTGGCGGAATAGTGGAGTAAAGCAATGCAATTTAAGTTGAAGATCCAAGTTTAAGCTTCATCCGGAAGTTTACCAAGAAGAGCTTATTGAAGATCCAAGTTCAAGCTTCATCCGCAAGTTTACCAAGAAGAGCTTATTGAAGATCAAGATCATAGCTTGGGTATATTTAGTTTAGGTTTATGTTATGTGTGTTGATACTTTAAGCTCAATCACTTACACACATATAAGTTTTGGTTTCTTATATATATATACAATTATATATATACACGTTTTGGTTTTTCGTTTTCATGTTTATATAAATATGAATTTGTAAAAATATTGAGTAATTTATTTATAGACTTCATAACAATAGTTTAGATCTTTCTTTAAGTCTATAAAATTATTTTATAAAGTTTCAAAATATGGTTTAGCTAAAATATCAAAAACATGTGTTTTGTATTTTCATGTTTTGGACTATTTTAAAAAATGATGAGTTTTCACAAATGAGGAATGCTTTTTGAAAACCAGTTTTTGTAGCATGTTTATCATCATGTCTATAATTATTTTTCAAAGTTTTATATATTTTGGAATTTATTTAATATTTTTAAACACTGTTTTAAGTTGACATGTACCGTTTAAAATAGGATGTGTGCATGTCTTGAGTCGACTCATGAACAGTGTTGAGTCGACTCATAAACTGTTGTGTAGTTTATATTTTATTTCTGATGAGTCGACTCATAACATCATGAGTTGACCCAGACAGGTTGAGTTGACTCATGTCTGTCATAAGTCGACTCATAAACTGTGCTGGAAAGTGTGTTTTGTTTCTGATGAGTCGACCCATGACTTCATGAGTCGACCCATGCATGATGAGTCGACTCATGAATTTTATGAGTCGACCCATAAGATATTTTTAGCCTATAACATCTAGGTTATGAGTCGACCCATAATTTTTATGAGTCGACCCATAAAGTGTTTGTTGCACAGTAATGGTTATTTTCCAGCCTTGTTTTGTTTTGGGTTTTTTGTCTTTTTGCCTTGTTTTCTCTTGGCTTTGGGGTTCCTATAAATACCCCCACATATCCTCAGTTCTAAATACTCAA